CCTGTTGGCAACGGGGAGGCGAGATGATTGCAGGGCAGCTTGTTATCACCTGCACCGCACCCACCTCTGCCTGCACACATGCCCGGTTGTGCAAACAAGACGGCTGAGCCAGGAAACCCTGCTGTACCTGCAGCTGAACTTTTGATCTCTCTATCAGCCTGCTTCAGCATATGGCTGTCTTTACCATCAGGTAAAAGAGCTATACAACTGAATTAATTCACTTTAAAAGTCTGCTGAATAGGGAAATTTATTTTTTTTATGTAAATAGCGGTAAGGAAAAAGGAAAAGGAGGCAGAGGAAGAATCTAAAAGGAGCCTACAAGAAAGCTGGGGATGGACTTTTGACAAGGGCATGGAGTGATCGGGCAAGGAGCAATGACTTTAAACTGGAAGAGGGCAGATTTAGATGAGATATTAGGAAGAAATTCTTCCCGCTGAGGGTGGTGAGGCCCTGGCAGGGGTTGCTCAGAGACGCTGTGGCTGCCCCATCCCTGGAAGGGTTCAAGGCCAGGTTGGATGGGGCTTGGAGCAACCTGGTCTGGTGGAAGGTGCTGGAAAGAGATGATCTTTAAGGTCCTTTCCAACCTAAACCATCCTATGGTTCTATGAATCAGCCTGCCCCAGGGGATGGAGTTGTGGGATGGTACCACATAACAAGTTCACCTTTCCTCTCTTTTCAGGTCACGGGATGTTTGTAGATCCCGAGCTCTTCAGGAGTCGCGTGGTCCAAATGCGACGCAGGGGATGAAAGCAACCAAGTGGGTTCTGCAGAGGAACCATGGCTGGTAACTGAGAATCATTTTGGCTTGAGCAGGGGAAAGCGATGGAAGAACAAGGAAGGGAGGAAAGCCTAGAAACAGAATGAACTCAACTGCTGTGAATCACAGCCAGGTAGGTGACCACCTTTGGAGGGTGTATCTGGGGAGGCACCAAATCAAGGGCTAGGCTATTCTTATGCAAACCAGTTTCCTCTAAACATTTTGGGAAGCTTTAATCCCAAATCAAAATGGAAATCGCTGCTGATGTTGGAGAAGTCACTTTACCTTTTTAAGATTACACATGTGGATGTCCAGGGAAGAAAGCGGAGAAGGACAGAAACCAAAGTGGTATCAGAGTTTGGAGAACTCCATACGCTGTCCAGCCACAGGAACAGCAGGTTTCAAACGCCATTTAATCCCATTCACAGTTTTGCTGTGGAATAGCATAAAAGTGTTTCCCCCCATCCAGTTATAAAAGTTTCATCGATATAATAAAGATCGTAATGGAACAGGCAGTTGCCTGTGCACAGTGTAGCGCAGACAGCTCACACTACTCTTTAATTTTTCAGGAACATTAAAATACTACAGTGAAATAATGTGTGGATGGATCTAGGTCTTCGCAGTAATTTTTGAGCTGATACCAAGACAAATTTAATCCAGATAAGACTAGCTTTAAAATTGCCACTAAGTTATGGAGACCAATCTTGCTTTGTTGCAAATATTAAAGATTCCACAGCTATGACAGGCCCCATAAACTTCCTCCTAGCAAACTGTGAACTTTTTTCAAAGCATTATACAAGTACTGGTTCAATGGGATGTTTACTGGGGGAGGGGATTAGAGCCGTGTAAACGCACAAAGAAGCTGCGTTCTGCATGTGTAACAACCAAACCTAGAGAAACAGCCCCCCAGCATTAATCCTAATGACAACGTCCAAAATGCCTCTTCAGGCAAGACCCAATTAGAGCACAGGGAGAAGTTTGAGTTGCAAATCCCTCCGCAATGCGCGTAGGTCACAAACTAATTCCGTGCAATACCCCCGAGCTGGGTGGGGTCCAGGAGGGACTGACAGGTTAATGCTTGGGACTGGTTCTGGGAGCTCCTGTGCCACTTTGCTCCTACCCTGCAATTAGAAAACTGACCTTGGAGCTCAGCATCAAGGGCAGACAATGCCACAAATCAAAATTTAACAAGCAGTGCCGGGGGAAGAGAAACACCCTGCCCACAGCAGCAAGCAGATAGAAAGTCAGGCTGGTGCCATGATGCACAAAGGAGCTGGATGAGTCTATTGTTCAGTGTCCGAGCAACCCCCTTCCATGGCCTTACACTCCTCAGCAGGATCTGACAAGATTTTTCCTTACCAGCATTGTTTACTCTGTAAAACAAGACTGTAGTTATGTGCTGCAACAATTCAGCAGCCCCTTTCCTTGAGCCCTACGCAAACACAGCCTCTTTTCTAGTCACGCTACCTCAAACTTTGCTCAAGTCTCTCCCCCTTAAAATCAAGTACAGCTTTTGCAGTTTGGTAGGAACCACCACACAAAATGAGCGCAGAACACGTCTTTTCTCCTCGCCAGCGTTATCTGTACGCCTTCTTACATCTCCCTTCTTACTGGGGTAATTACTGCCCCAGCTTCATGGCAAGTCCAGAGTCCTTTTACTCAGAAAGTAAAGGTCTAAGTGTCCTTCCTTCCCCATTTCCTCATGCTTGCAAAAAGTGGAAAATGCTAGTCAGCTCCTTGAGATCTGGGAAGACATTCAACACTTGTTAACAAACCGACAGCCGGCGTAGCGTGGAAGCGAACGGGGATGAATGGCTGGATTTATGCTCCCACTAATAAGCACAATCAGTGTGGATCAAGACAGAACAATGGATCCATAAAGGCTCACAGGGACTCAAATCCAACCTGTTTTACCCTTGTCCACTGCACACAGACTTACACGGCCAAAACGTTCAAATCGCTGCTAGATTTTTAAGCCATAAACAGTACAAGCTTTTACTCCAAAAGAATAGCGCTCTTACCTGAAAGCACAACCACCGCATCCAAACCTGACATTTAGCATTGGTCTCCCCACCAGAGGAAACCAGGGCAGCTATCCAGCAAGGAGATCCCCATCTTTGGAGTACAGAGGTGCTTTCAAAGCAAGGAAAAAAAAAAACCACGAAAAGAAAAAGCCAAGTGCCTTACAGGAAGTTTCAGACAAGCATTACAGCCCCGGAGTCCATCACGGACCGCTCCGAAACACTGGCTCCTGGGAGGCAAGTTTGCAAGAGCTCTGAGGAGCCCATCCCTCCTTGGGTCCTCCCCTAGGCGGGTCCTTCCAGGAGACCTAGGAGCTGTAACCCGAGTCCTTGCCGCCTTCATGGAGGTCAAAGCCACTTTCCAAGCACCTCCGGTTCTGGCTGGAACGAGTTAGCTCCGATCCGCCAGCATCACCCTCATGGACCGTTCCGGCCAACAAGGTGTTGCTCCGTGGGAACCGGCACCCTCTGGTCCCAATGCTCCTGCCGCACCGGTTCGCTCCGTGGCGAGGGTTCGCTCGTGTTCGCCTGCTGCCCCAGAACCTCCGCCCCACCGCAGGAGGGAAGCGGATCTTCCAGATGACCAGGTCCGATCCCATGATGGAGGAGCTGACTTGCCCCGCACCAGGAGGCTGGTTTCATAGCCTACAGCCACTGCACCCACATCTCAAGTGCACCCGCAAGTCAGGATCCAGCCCCCCACACCCACTACACCAGCCACACTTGCCCAGTGCAACGCAAGAAACCCTGAAACGGGTAAGAAGCAGGGAGAAGCTGTCGTGAGACACAAGGGAAACTGAGGCACGAGACTGGAAAGGATCTTCCTGCTGTAACTTGGTAAAAGTCTGTGTCACTGCTAGAAAAAGAGCTCACATTTCTGTTATGTCCGTCTAGCTGGTCCTTGACACATCCGAGATTATCTTACCTGCTAAGTACTGTACAAATACCAACAGCACACATAGTACTAACAAGCCATAGCAGTATAAATTATGAAGGAAAAAACCACCAAGTTTGCAACATCCATTCATTTTGATTTATGCCTGCTGCTCTCGCAAAGGCCCCAGCAATTTCTTCCTCTCCCACCCTCCTCCTACCATCATCTGTTCCCCAAGGAACAATGTTATCACCAAGCACAACCCTAATCTGCTGCCAGTCAGATACACCGCAGAGTTTGGCAGAGCCAAGTAATGTTATGTAAAATAGGCAGGAGATTTACAAAGAAAGCCCAGCACAAAGGGGAAAAAAGATAGGGCCTAAGATCCAGAGACACATTAACAGAGCAGGGCAGGCAAGAAATGGAAGCGGAGCAGCAGTGACGCTGGCAGAAGAAAAGATGGATGAATAGGACAGGCTGAGAGAGCAGAAGGGCAATCACCCAGTCCTGCAAAAAAACCTGAAAATTACACCAGGCTCCCGAAATTCTACCCCTCCAAAGGCCAAATCCACACCCGAAAACTCACGAGGGCTACAAAAACCCGCGAAAGAGCCTGTCCTTGCCACCTGCTTACACATTCTGCACCATGATGCCACCCACAAGGCAGTACCAGCCACAGGGGCCTCTCACAAGATTCCCACATGCATTTTTAGAAGAGGCAAAAAGTTGCACTAACACATATCCCAGAGTCTTTTCTTGGGGAAAAACAAAAAATCTGTATTTTAACAAGCTTGCTTTCTCATAGCCAAGAACCAAGTTACCAAGAAGTGCAGCCCTAACACGGACAGCCAGAAGTCCTTACTGCAGCTAGACAGCTTTACAGCAATGTCACCAGAAGTCATTTCACATTTGAAGCCTCTTGCTCAAGCAAGACAGGGCAGATCCTTCACCTTCCCACGAGGTGTTTATTATCCTTTTGCTTACACAATTAGTTTCAGACCAAAGAGACCCAAGCCCAAGCTGCAACAAACCAGCTCCCCTCCCCATTTCCCCAGCCCACCCTTTGGGCTGCTGGCAATGGGTTCAAGTCCCAGATCCAGCTTTCCACGCTGGTGCGCAAGAAGCAGAACCCAGGTCAGAGCAACCGTTTGGCAGCAGCGCCGGCTTCGATAGGCTTCAGACAGTTATGAAGCCACACACACTCCGCAGCTGTGTGGTTTGGGATGGCAGCAGTCTAAAAATACTTTTGATTTACTTGTTCCTTTAAGGTTTCAAACTGGCACTCAGCGAGTGCTTTAAGGGCAATGTTTTCATAGAGCAACACCCAGAGCAATCAGGAAGAGCCCAGCATAACTGGTTCCAACTGAAGTGTCAACAGTCCATCACAATAGCTCAGCACGTCAGAGACTTCGGAGCACCCAGTGCTGATCAAGGGTCAGAAGCACTTTTGCAACTCGGTCCACGCACACCGGAGTCGGGGTAAAGAGGAATACAAGAAGTGTCAAGACTGGATCAGGCCAGGGCTCAGGTAAGCCTGTCACAAACAGCATCTGCTTGCATATGGAGGTGAAAGAATATTTCAGGTTTCAAAGTCCTGACCTTAAGGACAACATTTTTTCTAGTCTCTTTGTCTGGAAAAAACCTAACTTTACTTCTCTGCGTAACAGAAGTTTGGGAGTCTGTTTGTTTTCAGGTTTGGGGTATATTTGAAGGAACCAAGACCCATTTAGTTATCTCCTAGCCATCCAATTATCTCCTTAGCCATACAATATGCATGAGTTTGGGCGCAGCACAATCCTTTCAGGGTGCTACCTGCAAACTCAAAAATCATTGCACCTGAAAACCCCACATCAGCTTTTGCACCATGGAAATTTTTGTAAAGACTGAGCTCAGGTATCTTCCAACAGCAATACTTCTGGGATTGAGCACCAGATGCTGAACACAGACAAGACCAAAGAGACCAGATACCCATCGTGTCCAGCCCCTCTGTCTCCCCGCTTCCCCTCCAATCGCTTCGTGAGTTTTCCTCTTTCCACCAGTTCAGAAGGGGCTAGCAGGGCGTTGTGCAGCATTGTTCCCCACCCCCACC